GATAGCACAGCAGTAGGGCTTTTGCCTTGCATGCGGCCAACACAGGTTCGATTCCTCTATCCTTCTCGGAGAGCCTGGCAAGCTACCAAGAGTATCCTGCCCACATGGCAGAGCCTGGCAAGCTCCCCGTGGCGTTTTCAATATGCCAAAAACAGTAACCAAGTCTCACAATAGAGACATTAGTGGTGCCTGCTCAAGCAAATCGATGAACAACGGGAGGACAGTGATAGACAGTGACAAAATACTTAACGAATCTATGCAAAATTTAAAGCCTTCTCTGTGAGAAATAGTCTGAAGAAGAAAAAAAAAACAAGCTACATAGTGAAATGCCTACAAATTAAATACCCTTTTAAGGACTAGCACTAATAATATATAAAGAACTCTCAAAACAATAAAAAGCAGAATTCACAGGCCAGAGAGATAGTATTGCGGGTAGAACATTTGCCAGGCACAGCCAACCAGAGTTTAATCCTGATATCACATGTGATCTCCAGAGCCCACCAGAAGCGATCCCTGAGCACAGAACCAGGAGTAAGCCCTGAGCATCAACGGGTGTGGCCACAAGACAAAAAACAAAACAAAAACAGACTTCATTTAAAAAATGGACAGAGAGACTGGAGCAATAGTACACCAGATAGGGCATCTGCTCTGCAAAACGTCATCCCAATTTAATCCCTGGCACTCCAATGTGGTCCTCCAAACTATGCCAGGAGTGATCCCTAAGCACCACCGTGTGTGGCCACAAAACAGAATTCATTTGGTAAATATGCAAGAGGGACAAAAAGAACAGTACAGTACGTAGAGCATTTACCTTGCAACATGTAGCTAATCCCGATTCAATCCCTAGCACAGCATATGATCCTCTGAGCTCCGCCAGGAGTGATTCCTGAGCACAACGCCACAGACTAACTCCTGCCCTGGCCTCCAAAAGTGGATAAAAGAGATGAATAATTTCCTTAAAGAGGATTATGAAATGAGGATATGAAAGAGTATATGAAAAATATTCAACAGCATTAGCCACCAGAAAATATAAATTAAAATCACAATGAAGGGACAGGATATGGCTTAATGGGCTGAGGTGTATGCTCTGTATGCAGGAGCACCAGATTCAATACCCTGCACTACATGGTCCCCCAAGTACTGCCCAGGAGTAGCTCTGAAGTACTTTGCTCTGAGTATCCTACCCTACTACTGCCAGATGTGATACCTTCTCCACCTACCCACCTCCCAAAAAAACACAACAAATATCACTGCACATTCAACAGAATGGCAAAATTAAAAACAGTGACCACCGTATATGGGTGAGACTGGAGAGAAATTATCACTTCCATACATAGCAAACGGGACTGTAAATTGATACAGCTACTCCAGAAAATTGTTTGGTAAAGCAGGGATTTAGCTCCCCAAACCACACAATAAAGATCATCTGGCAGTTTCTTAAAATTCTAAATATGTAAGAGTTGAGGAGATAGCTCAAAGAGCTAGAATCACACTTAACATGCAGGAGGCCTGATGGTCCCCGGCACTGTATGGCCCTCTCAGCAAACAGAAGCAACCTGAAACAACTCTGCAGAGAGCAGCTCCTGAGCATCACTGGGTATGGCAAAACAACAAAAGGGGGAAAAAAAATCTAAACATGAAACTACCATAAAGCAATTGTCCAACTGGCTATTTATCCCACAGATACTAAAACTTTATGCTTACTCAAAAACTTGTCATATACATGATCATAGCAGCTCTATTTGTAATAGCCAAAATCCCAAATTATCTCAGATTTCCTTACAAGGTAAATGGTTAAATAAACTCTGGTACATCCACATTATGAAACATCACTCGTTACGAAAACAAAAAAACGATTAACACATAACAACAACTAGTATGGATATTCTGAGAGTTGACCAAAAAGAAGTCAATCCCAAATTGCATACTATATGATTACATTTTTATAAGATTATAAAATGACAAAACCACCAAAATAGAGTTCACTGCAATAGTTGGCTGGCGGTTCAGACTGGGAGAGATGTGGGTATGTTTTAAAAATGGTAATGAAAAACCTTGTGGAGCTGAAATTGTTCTCTATCTTTTCTATTTTGGGGCCACACCCAGTGGTGCTCAGGGCTTATTCTTGGGGTCTGCACGCAGGGACCTCTAGTGGTTCTGGGGAGACCATAAGATCACTCTCTTTTATATCTTATACCTTCCTGTGAATCCACAACCATCTCAATTTTAAATATGCTTAATGGAGAAATAAAAAGATCTCTATTTCTTTACTAATGTATTTTTAGGATGCTCCATGTTTAGGAGGAACAGCTTCCATCAAAGAGGACTCCACATAAGAGAAAAAGGGTATTTTAAAAGTTTATGACAGAAATGTTCACAAACAGCTTTTTTCAAAGAATCTACTTTAATGAATTAAGACAACATAGACAGATCAAAGGAGAGCAATTTACATGTATTTTGAAGAGCTTTCTTTCTTTTGGAATCAACCTTATGAGTTCCTTCCAGTTACATGGCCTTTGTAAATGCAGTTACCTTGGGTTTGAAAAGCTCCACCTCCCACAGGCTGAATCTTTCCCTGACCCTTCAACTATGCCTAACAAATTCATCTTTACAATTATAAATAACACTCCTTAAAAAAACTTTCTCCTAGCCCTCACACTAGGTTATTGTTCTATTGTTTTCCCTTTTCACAAAACATTATATTCACATTATATTCACATTATAATTGAATAGCAATTTATTTAATAATTAAATGTCTGCCTATCCAATTAAATTATAAGTTTCATGATGGCAAAGCACCTTTAAAGCAACTGCCACAGGGTCAGAGAAATAGTTCATTGAGGTGGAGCACATGTTTTGCATACAAGAGGCCCAAATTTGATTCCTGGCACCCCACATTTTCCCTGAGCACCATCTGCAGTGACCAGCCCAAGCAGAGAGCCAGGAGTAGCCCATGACACCACCGGATATGAACCAAAAACCAGAACCAAGACAAATATATAAAGCATCCCCCAAATCTACACATTTATTGAACTTGTAGCCAAATTTCTTTTAGAAAAAGAGCAAAACATTGATGCAAAATGGAAAAGAACAACACTTCTCAAAAGCACTGTCTCATTTACAGTGAAGGATATACATACTTTCTGATTCCACTAACTCAAACCAGTCTGAAAATAAGAGTATCTCAGAATTTTGTGTGGCACCAATTCTTCCACTGTGGTAGCTATCAAAGAGCTTCAATCATGGCTCTGTATTATCCTACGACCATGGGCCTCAACAAGAGACATAACATAACCAAGAACGTGAGCGACACAAGGCACAGCCATGAACATGGTGCCTCATGAAATACACCAAGTTCACACTGGACGTGATCTGAGAGGAGTGTGATTTCACACACAAAAAGCAATCAACAGGTAATGGAGCTGCTCAAGATTACGAGGACAAGCAGGCCCTCAAATTCAACTGAAAAAGGACTGGAACACATACACATCTGCGACAAGAGGAAAAGAGAAACTGAATAATGTCCTGGCTGCCATGAAGAAGGCAGCCACTATGAACTAAGCCTTTCACTTTCAAATAAGTCTTCCGGCAAAGTCAAGGATGGGGGAAGCATAAAAATATTTGTATTTAATAAATAAAAAGCCCATAAACAGTGTTTCTTAGTTGAGCTGGAGTAATAGTATTGCATACTACAGGGCATTTGCCTTGCACGTAGCAGACCCAGTTTCATCTCCAGTACCACATGGTACCCAGAGTCCGCAAGGAATAATCCCTAAGTACAGAGCCAGGAGTAAGTCCTGAATACATGAACATCACGGGGTGTGGCCCAAGATACAAAAAGAAAAAAAACCTCAATTTTGTCACTAACAACGAATTCTAGAGCAGGTTGTTAACTTTTTCACCCTTCACATTTTTCCCATCTATGTAATGGAAGCAATATCATGTCTTCATTACGCAGGTTTTAAGGATGAAGCTAAATAATATTACATATTATAATATTATATATAAAATATCCAATCAAAGATAAATTCAATAAAGGAAAAATATAAAGATACATATATAACAAAAGAGAGGCCAAAGGGATAGGAGAAGGGTTAAGGAGCTAGACCTTGCATGTTTGATCACCAGCACCTCAGGGTCCCCCAAATTACAAACTCCAAGCACCACTAGGTGTGACCCAACCCCCCCACAAAATAAAATATACATAAGACCAAGTGAGAGCTGAATACTTTTTAGGGTAATGATTTTCAACTGCCAGTCTTTAAGTGGGTACCAGGCAGCAGAAATTTTCTGCCAGTCCACAAAAAGTTACAGACACTTAGCATGTAGTATGCAAAGAGGAGCAGAAAAGCACTGTCCTCAACCACAAGTATAAGCACCAGTATACATACATAGTTTTCCAGTCTGTATTTTCACCACTATTTTCACCACTCCATAGGTATAAAAAGATTAAAAATCACTGGTTTAGAAAATAAATTATATAAGTCTAAAACTGGTGAGTTACTTCTGTTGGCAGGTGGAAAGCATGCCTGAACAGATTTGGTAACATATTTATCTTTTCGTTTGTTCAATACCCAGTGGTGCACAAGGTTTACTCCTGGTATTGTGCTCAGGGCTCACTCCTGGTGGTGCTCAAGAGGGCCATGTAGGGTGCCGGGGATTGAACCCAGGTCAGCTGCATGCAAAGCAAGCATCTTACCAACTGTACTCTCTCCAATCCCACTAAGTCATATCTATACTAAGAATGAGGAATGTCTGCTTTGTTCCACATGTACAAAATAGATCACAATTTAAATAATGCAGATATCAAAAATGTTATTACCTTTACAATAAAGATTCCAGCTACCAGTAGTAATATAATACTAGAGATAATACCATCCCAAATCCCACTTTCTAATTCACAAAAATAAAAGTAATCCCTTATATTCCTGGAATGAGGTTCCAGTATATGACCAACCAATTCATCAAGTTTAAAAAAATTCCGTCAAACATCAGTATACCTGCTTGTCCTGTTTTGCTGAGGTAACTGTTCTATCACCTGACTGATGGAACCACATGTGTCCAAATGAGAAGAATCCATGGGTTCTGAAATAAATTGGATATTAGCACAAGACGCGTTAAATCATCAAATTTTATCATCAATTTAAGAATGCAGATTATATCAATCTAATCAGCTTACAACAGAATATCAATTTTTAAGGGGCCAGAGAGACAGTAAGTGGGTAGAGCATTTGGTTTGCTTAAATCCAATCCAGGTTCAATTCCCAACACCTCAAAGAGTTCCCCAAGTCATGCAAAGAGCCAGGAGTCAGCCCTGAGCACAGCCAGGTATGGCCCCAAAACAAAACACACACATGAAAATAGATTATCTTTTATTTTTCCCTTCTCTTGTTTTTGCAATGATAGGATCACACACTTAAATGCAGTGCTCACAGATTTAGTTGGTATGCAAGTTGGAGGGGGGGTCATCAGAGATACTGATGGTAGTGTCCCCTAGACTGCACTCAGTATGTAACTAAGCAGTGCTGGGCATCACACTTTTGGTGCTACCAGGCAGAATGGCACTCTATCATTGAGTTATCCCTGGGCCCCTAGGACATCTATCTTTTGATTGCCTAATAGGCACCAAACACTGTGCAAGACTTCCTTATATACAATCACCACAACCATGTTTAAATTCACCCAGCTCCAACCAAACACGCTTGCAAAAATGACTAAGAGCTTGAACACCTCACCTGCAGCTTTTTCTTTCATATGTTCACCGAACCCACTATTACTGCCTCCTTGCTCTTCTCCAGTGGTTTGTTCAGGATTGGACACAATATCCTAAAAAACATACACACACAGAATCCTCACTATATATATTAAAAAAAAACCAAAGGAGACATACTTTCTATGATCATAATTACTTTCCTCCAATTCAACTTTATCCAAGACACAGCAGTCTGGTTGGGTTTTTGATAGAGATTAGGGAAAGAAATTAACCATTTCCAAACAAGGAAATATATTACTCACCAAAACGGGGTTCTCTTTGTGTGCCTGCAGATTAGGAAGGTGGCGAGAGAGCATCGTGAAGTGAGAACCAGAATCATCTTCTAGACCCTGGCTTTCAGGCTGGGAATCTTCAATTATTAGGCAAGGAGTGTCTTGCTGAGAGAAATCTGAATCCAACTGACTTCCAGCCGGGTCCATCTGCTCCCCTGGAATGGAATAACAAAAGATCAGTCCTGTACAACCTGCAAGCCTCCTCACGAAGTCTGAGCTCAAATAATGGGGCGGAAGTGCGAGGGCTGGGAAGGGGGACCGGCTAGACTCTGCCAGTAAGAACATGCATTTCTAATCGCAGCCAACGTGTTCCTATCCCAGGGCTCGATTTCCCTCATTATTTACAATTGGCCTGCCTATCCTAGCTCCCTCTTCTCTGCCGCGGCCTTCCTGCAGACACCCTTTCCCCTCCTTTCTACCCTCTTCTCTCCCCGCCCCTTTTTCCATCCCCCCCAACTCTGCCTCTGTCCTCCTGGCGCCTCTACAGCCCCGGGGAAAAGGCTGCTTCGTAATCTCCGTCGGCCAGCACCCGTGGAGCCCCTCGCGCTTCCTCACGACCACCCAGCCTTCCGCGCTACGGCTTCCCCGCCCCCTCCTCAGGGGCCTCCAACCCCATCCCCGTCACCGCCGCCATGCTTGCCACCCCGCCCCCTCCGGCCAGCCGTCCCTTCAAACCCTCCACTCAGCCCCTCGGGCCCCACTCGGGCCTCACTTTCCTCCCAGCAGTACCAGGCATCCCGGCGGGAGGTCCCTCGCGCTCGAGCAAGAGGTCTCCTGCACGCCCCGGGTCCCTCCAGCGCGATCCCCAGGTCGCCGCTGTCGCTGCCGCCGCCGCCACCAGCCGCGAACTCCCCCTCTTCCCGCCGCGTCACGCAGAACCGGCGCGCCCATTCGCTGCCGCCACCCGCCACTCAAGAAGGCCTGCGGGTGACTGGTGGCTGCGGCGCAACGCCCCGCCCCGCGTAAGAAAAAGGAACTCGGCGGCGTGTTTCCATGGCAGCATGGAGGCTGCGGCCCTCCCCCTACCAAGCCAGAGAATGACAGTATCCTTGAACCGAAGGGACCTTGAGAGGGCGTGAAATATATTCCCAAGCCTCGGAGACTATTGTTTTCTTCGGGCTCGGACTTAAAAAGAAAAATCCTGCTTTTCTACCCCTCCTGCACCGTCAGGCCCCGTTCTTTCACCCTCTTCCGTGGAAAGGGAGAGGATTTCCAGGCGCTTTCTAATAAAAGAGCAAAGAGGAGGAACCAGGACAGCTACTACTTGAGAGCTAGTAAAACTGAGGAGTGTGAACTCTCTGGGGTTTCTCTGTGTCAATCAGGGTTCCTTTTGTTGGCCTATAATTTGAATTCAAGGGCTTTACATTATGTCTTCTGCCAGTTTACGCCCCCCTCCCACCACCACCACCACCTCTCTCTCTCTCTCTCTCTCTCTCTCTCTCTCTCTCTCTCTCTCTCTCTCTCTCTCCCCTCTCACATACACACACACACACCAGAAAACCGTATTTTTTCAATTGCCCTTTCCAACCTGGAAGGTACAAAAAGCTTCACATTGCTTATTGTTGCCCAGATTTTTATGAGATTATAGCCGATGGAGACTATAGCTCCAGAAATTTTATTTACGTCTGCATGTATTTATTTACTTTTGCACCTCCCATTGAAAGAACTGAGAACATGACTCAGACAGCAGCCGCCCCTTTTAACTAAACTACCCCAAAGATCATTCATTCAATATAGTGAATCTATTATCTTAATTATGGTTTCAGGGACTATAAGACTACACTGGGGCAGCTGTGACAAGTATTAATAAAAGACCCCATGAGAAATATGTTTTGTTTCTTCCTTGGCATTCTAGCTTAGGGCAGCATCTTTAGAGAAAGTACTAGCACACTGCCAATTCTATTAACATTGTAGGTTTTCAGTTGAAGGTAGTTTCCTTCCTCTGCCCCAGACTCAGAATTTCTCAGGCACAGTCTAACAATGATTCTTATTGCTGTGAATGCCAAATTCAGCACTTGATAGAGGCTAATCTGAGTGAAGCTTTCTACCAACCAAATCTCCCTGCTGTAGTAAATTACAAGGACGTTTTCCAAAACAAAAATCAAAAATCAGACCAGAGAGATATTATAGTGGGTAGAATACTTTCCCCAGCATCCGATATGGTCCCCCAAGCACCATCAGGAGTAATTCCTGAGTGCAGAGCCAGGAGCAAACCCTAAATATCACCAGTTGTGGCCTTAAAAAAAAAAATAAAAGAAGGGGAAAAAAAAGCATTGGGGCTGCATAGTACACAATATAAGGCACTTGCCTTGTACACTGATGACCTGGGCTTGAATGCCAGCATCCTATACCATCCACCAAGCCCTGTCAGAAGTGATTCCTGAGTACAGAGCCAGGAATAAGCCCAGAGCACAGCCAGGTGGGGCCCAAAAACAAACAGAAAAAAAAGAATCAAAGCCTGTAATCTGACTACTTTTTTTATAAGATCCAAAGAACAACTTTCTGAAAGAAATCTCCTTGAAAAATCTAGACTCTATTGTGGTCATAACTGGAATATAATTAGGATTCCAGAATGAAGCTTCATTAGTGGAGTAAAAATGGAATGTAGGCACTTCACGCTGGTGTACTCCCAACTCTGGATGCCTAAAACTTCCTTTACCTCTCTCTTTCCACTCCACTCCCCTCTCTCCACACACACAATTGCACATTCTTCTTAGAATTGTTATCTTCCCTCAATAAAGCTATTTAACTTTTTAAAATATGAAAATAAAACACAGAGACACATCTTATTTGTTAAACTTGAACTCATTTATGGTGGACTCCTCTCTTCCTCCACTCCCAGTCCTGGAGAAGACCAGTAATTAAACTAATTTATTCCTAAAGGATGAAGTCACCATTATCCCCAGTCAGTAAACAAGTTAACTTACCCACTAGATTTGAGAGGGCACAAGCCACCAAGTCTTATGGGTAAATTTTGACTTTGATTCCCATAATCACTGTCACTGTCCTCCCGCTGTTTATCGATTTGCTTGAGCGGGCTCAGTAACGTCTCCATTGGAGACTTTGTTGTTACTGTGTCTGGCATATCGAATACGTCACGGGGAGCTTGCCAGGCTCTGCCGTGCGGGCAAGATACTCTCGCTAGCTTGCCGGGCTCTCCGAGAGGGGCGGAGGAATCGAACTCGGGTCGGCCATGTTGGCTGCGTGCAAAAATTTACTATGTTTTTGCTTTTCTTTGTTCTACTGTTACAATTGCCCTCACAGAAGTAAAACAGATAGGTCTTCTTCATTATGTGTAAATTTTATGTATTTGTTAAAAACTCATAAAGTCGCATACTAAAAAGAATAAACAAGAATCAGGGCGATAGTACAGGGGTTAAGGCATTTGTTTTTCATTCCACCAACCCTAGTTGACATCCCTGGCCCAACTTTCATCTCCAAAATAAGTAAATAAAATTTTTAAAAAAGATAAATTAAGAACTGGGGACATAGCACAATGATAGGGCACTTGCAAAATAGAGCTTTGCATGTGTGAGGCCCTGGGTTCAATCTCCAGCACTGCAAAATAAAAAAAGAAGAGGGAGCAAAGAAATTATATCTCAATAAACATGAATTAAAAAGGATAATAAATGAAACTGAATCATTACCATTATTAAATAAAACAAAAGCTTTAAAAATCTGTGAAGAAAAACTGTGAATTCCTTGGTATGCAGTGCAGCAATTGAATTATTCCACAAAATTACACAGAAAGATTAGAAAATGCAGGTCACTGGTTGCCTACTGAGACTGTAGCTAATTGTGACAAGGTGAGCCAAAACCCTTTATTCACTCCTGAACTATGAAGACCATAGGTGCATCTGCCTATCTACCTGGGCATTATACCTGGGCTTTATACCTAAAGCCACCTCAGACAAGGAAAAATCTAAACTGCAGTTCTCCCAGATAAGAACATTCCATGAGACCCTGCTTTAATGCACTTGAAAGTTTAACAAATCTAATTGTCAGATTTTCTTCTAATCAACTAACTACATCCTTTATTTCTAGAGCTTAAAGTCATTTCCTCTCATTTTATCTTTTTAAATTAATTTCTTTATTGAGATGGTATAATTTATGATATTATTGCTCATATTATTTTGTTTGTTAATTTTGGGACTACATCCAGCTATGCTCAGGGTTTACTCATGACTCTATGCTCAGGGATTACTCCAAGAACCCGATGTGCTGTCAGAGATCCAACCTGAGTTGGCTGCATTCAAGGCAAGCACTTATGCATTGCTCTATTTTTCTGGCCCTCATATTATTAAGCTTATCTCATCTGGGGGGCTGGAGCGATAGCACTGCGGGTAGGGCGTTTGCCTTGCACACAGCCAACATGGCCGACACAGGTTCGATTCCCAGCATCCCATATGGTCCCCCGAGCACCGCCAGGAGTGATTCCTGAGTGCATGAGCCAGGAGTAACCCCTGAACATTGCCAGGTGTGACCCAAAAAGCAAAAAATAAATAAATAAATAAAATTTTTTTAAAAACTTATCTCATCTGGTACAATAAGTTTACAGAATATTTCAATGAATCTAACAATAAATATTAATGTTACGTATTTTATCAGTCTTTTTCTATGGTCTCTTCATAGATATTTCAATCAAAAAGAAAAAAATTCATTTTTATCCACTTTCAGAAAAGTGGATACTATTCACTATTCACTATTCACCGATCATTAAACTTTGCTTCGTGATTTTCCTTTGGAAATTCAATAGTGGTAGAGAACTCTACTAATACACACACACACACACACACACACACACACACACACCTCCAGCACTTCATATGGTCCCCTGAATCTCACCAGGAATCATCCTATTGCACAGAGCCAGAATTACTAAACACTGCCAGCTGTGACCTCCAAACTCAAAAACAAAAATAAAACAACAACAAAAAGTTATATACCCCCTTTCAGGTATATAATTCAACTAGTATATAATTATATACTTGATATACAATTGATTATATAATTTATTCTGACCTCTAGGCTTTTCAGTACAGTCATGTCCATTCATATACTAATATAATTAAGTAATAATATGACATTGCCATTTTACTATGTGTACTGTGCTTGATTTTAGATTCATTAACTCACCTAGAAGTTTCACAACCCTGTGTTGAGGATCATAGATGAGGACACTAAGGTTAGAGAAATGAGATAACTTGCACAGTGCCTCACAGCTAATATAAGAGTCAGAATTCAGCAGGTTAACTACAGAAGACTTATATGTCCATAGTTAAGGAGCAGTAACAGGGACCAGAGAGAGTACAACAGGTAAGGTGCTTACCGAGCACACAGCCAATCTGGGCTTAATATCTGGCATCCTATGTGGTCCCCTGACCACTGCTAGAAGTGATCTATAAGCACAGAGCTAGGAGTAATCCTTGAGCACAGCTGACTGTGATACAAACACCAAGAAACAGAAGAAGAACAGTGACAAAGAAATGGTAAAGCTGAACCGAACCAATTGTATGGTGAGTGGGCCTCACTATACTTGCACAGAACTGGCCAACATCACATATCATACCCCAAGCCCAGACAGGAGTTATCTCTGAACACAGTGTCAGGAATAAGCCCTGAGCACAGCTGGAAGTGGCCCAAAAACAAAACAAAAAAATCATAAGACTTATAATACAAAACTATTTTTGTTTTAGCAGTATTACTATTTTATTCTCTCATTTGAGTGAATGAGACCAGTTGTAGTTACTGGTTTTGGCATATCGAATAAACAGCGGATAGCTTGCCAGGCTCTTCCGTGCGGGCGGAATACTCTCGGTAGCTTGCCAGTCTTTCCGAGAGGG